AAAGGGACAAGGGGCATAGAGGTTACTGCTACTTCCCCAAACTGCTTACCTGCTCAGGTAGACCAGGTGAATTAGGCAACAGCATGGAGGAGAAGCAGCAGACCAGGAGACTCCCAGGTCTCTACTGGGATACAGGTTTTGGCAGGTGCCTCAGGTAAACCCTTATGCTAGATTTAGGTGGAGGGGGAGATATACAGTGGTACCTCGGGTTACAGACGCTTCAGGTTACAGACTCCGCTAACCCAGAAATAGTACCTCGGGTTAAGAACTTTGCTTCAGGATGAGAACAGAAATCGTGCAGCGGCAGCAGGAGGCCCCATTAGCTAAAGTGGTGCTACAGGTTAAGAACAGTTTCAGGTTAAGAACGGACCTCCAGAACAAATTAAGTTCTTAACCCGAGGTACCAGTGTACTGCACTAGAAGATGGGACTCATCTCATGTCCTTTCTAAGAGCATGCATAAACAAGGCTAAAATTTATGTGGCACACCTACTCCCTCTAGTGGCTGGTTTACCTATGAATTTCTGTAGTACTGTACAGTACTAGGTCTCCTCAATGGTTGCACTAATCCTGCTAACTGCTACAACTGCTCGAGTTGTTACCTTTTGCACATTGCACCTGTGGAATCTCAAGCATGCTGTTACCAAAGCTAGGGGTGGAGGAAGCACAACAGTTGTGAAATGCTAAGTTCATTTTAATTATTTTAATTTAGGAGAAGCAAATTATATTAGCCTATAGACTGATCAATGGTTTCTGGTAATATGTTTGGGTGATTATTTTCCTGCGTCTTGTTGCACCAGTATATAATAGAGTTGCTCCACTTGTCAATTAATGAATTGTCTGCCTATCTCCCTTATCTTACAATGATGCACTGGGTTTAAATAGGGAATTAAGCCTAAAGAAGCCTACTTCTAAACAAATTTGCAAAATTAGGATTCCTTTTTAAGGAAGGATTAAATTTTAAGTTTTGCACTGGGGGAGCCATTTCCATGTGTCCTGCTCTATGCTGTTCTGGTTACATATGAAAGCAGAGACTCATAGTTCCATAAGTTTAACTAGGCACTTAATGAAGACATAGGTGGGTGAGCTGGCAAAATCCCAGCTGAATTGCAATAAAACAGAGGTACTATGAATAGGCAGTTCCTTCATCAAGGAATTGGAGAAACAGCCCATTTTGGATGGGGTAGCATTCCCTTGATGGAGCAGATTTGCAGCTTGAAGGTACTCCTTTATCCACAATTGTCACTGGAGGCTCAGCGCCTATTTCCAGCTATGTCTGGTTCACCAACTAGTCATTCTTGGACTGGGATAGCCTGCTGTCAATAACTCAAGTTCTGGTGATCTAGTGGTTGGATTTTTGCAATATGCTTGTCTATGTGGGACTGCCCTTGAAAATGGTCAGAGGCTTCAGCTAGGGCAGAATGCAGGTGCCAGGTTATTAACAGGGGCAGTGGGATGGAATGGTACAACACTTTTTCTCAAAGCTTTGCATTGGCTACTGGGGATTCGTGATGCTTTACAAACCTTGGATCCTAAATACCTGCAGAATACCTCCTCGAAAAACCAGCGAATTTGATCTCAAGATCAGCAGGGAAGATGGAAACTCTGCTCACGGTCCCATCAGGATTTGAGGTGAGAGGATGCATAGAAGGTTCTTCTCCATGGTTTCCCCTTGGAGCAGAGGTTTTCAACCTTTTTGAGTCCACGGCACCCTTGACCAGCTACATTCTTTCTGTGGCACCCCTGTGGGGCTCAGGAACCCAGTTATGTCACCCCTTGCCTGCAGAGCTGGGAGCCTCTCACCCTCTTTCGAACACCCTCCCTTGTGGAATGTTCCCTCAGCCTTCTCTCCCGTCTCCTTGGGAGTTACAGGGGCAGCTGCTGCTGCTGCCTCTGGTCTCTGAGCTGCCCTCCCCACTTCCCCAATGAGAGGTGCCTCCTCACACTGCCCCACAGGGGCCTGGGAAGCACCCCCTGGCCAGTCCCGAGGCACCATTTGCCTAAGGAGCTTGTAGCCAGGGCTGCTGCAACAAACAGCTGTGCAAGCCTTTGGGAGGCAGAGATGCAAGGAGGGAAGGAAAGAGGGACAGAGGCCAGTGTTGCCCACAGCACCGCTGAATATCATTCAAGGCACCCCAGGGTGCCATGGTGTGTCTGTCTTTCACATTGTTGGGTTTCAGACACCAACCATAATAATGCTTATTTGTCCAGGGTTTCACAAGTTTATAGCTAAGAGGTGCACTCATCATCTGCAATATGCACAGTATATGAATTGCTGTTTTAAATGATCTGCAACTTGTTTATGTTTGTGTGCTTAGCACTATTCTATTCTATTGTATTTTGTTCATATGTTTGGTGTACATCACCCTGGTATCTTTCAGAGGAAGTGCAACTTACAAATAAAAAAAAATGTGTTGAAATAAAATGTGCACAAAAGCCTTTTATCACATTGCCTACAAAGTATACAGAACTGAAAACGAAAGTTTGAGAATGACTGTGCTTAAAAGCAGAAGTTAAAAGGGAACTTGGGGGGGGGTGCAGCACACACAGGAGAAATGGAACTTGGAGAAAATGAAACCTATATGAGCCATTTCCACCTACTCACCCTTGCAGGTGGCTGAAGAGTCCGCAAAAGATGAGCTCCACTTGTGCAGAAGTGTCATTATTCACTCTTGTGAACTCACTCAGGATCCCTGTGAGATACATGCATCAGATAGCCGTTCTCTTTCCCTTGTTAAAAAAAAATCACATTTCATTCATATTACTCTGGGATTTATGATAGCTGAATGTAGGGGCAGATGGAATGCAGAAGAAATTTTAGTTGAATCCTTTGTGTCAAAGAAGAATCCTCTGTCTGTACTGTCTTTACTGGGGTGGGGAACACGCAGCGGGCTGGACGCTTAGGTCCCCTAACCCCCACGGGCCACTTTTGACAGATGGGCAGGGGTGCCCATTTATCAACCACCTGACATCCCCATGATGTTTCCCTTTGCCTGTGTGACTTGAAATCAAACCACCCTCACAAAGGCACAGGGTTTTGCAAGCACTTATCATCTGATTGTTGGCAGGGCTTTGCCAATACCAACAATCAGATGATCAGTAGTGCCTGGACACCTCCCTTTTCAGCAGGGAGCCATGTCTTTGCCTGCCCACACATATATCATTATATGATGTCTGATGTAGGTCAGGTGGGTGTGGCTTGACTGAAATGGCTCAGGGGCCAAGTAGGGAGGCCTGCTGCTAGGCCTTACTGGACCCGCTCACCCCACAACTGATATAATAAGACTGCAGCATCTTAAATAATGCCTCCCATCTCTGCAGGTTTCTTTCTCTACCTCCTCTTCTTCATCTTTTGCAGCTCTCTTTTGAAAACAGAAAGTTTGGGGAAGATAATAGACCATGTCATCAGCAGCCATTGCATCAGCACCCCTGTCCCCTTTCAGACCTATTTGCATGCCCAGCAAGGGAAAAGAGGAAGGAAGGAGCCATGATCAGAAGCACATGGAGCAGAAGGCAGAAGCAAAGGTTTAGGGAAGAAGAGGGAGCTACAGCCTTTCTCTGTGGCAACAATCCTTATGTGTCACAGGCCAAGTGAAGAAGTGAGCATGCCAGATTAGCGGGCGCCTTTGCTTTCTGGCATGGACTCCCATGCTTGAATATGATAGCGAGATACTCTATAGGAAAAACTTTCCTTTGGTATAAAGCAACACTGGAGAGAATTTAGCCAGTTGGATTTTTGCTTGTTAAAGCTACAATAACTCTTCTAGGAACCCCAGTGATGATGTTAAATTAGATTTGCCTGAAGGACAGGAAATGAATTCAGCAGAACACGTCCCGATTACTTGGGCTCCTGCATTACATGTTTACAAGGAATGAGAGATTTGCCTTTTTTGGGGGGTGAAGGGGGTAGGAATTGAGAGATGAAGGAGAAAACAAAGCTTTATTGCTGAGTCTCACTTTGAGAAAAATGATTGAGCCTTGCAGCATACATCTCTCCTATTACAGAGAAAGCAAATGTTGTGCCTTTCTGATATTGCTAGACTCCAGATCCCATCATCCCTGGCCATTGGCCATACTGGCTGGTGCAGATGGGAGTTGGATCCCAACAACATCTTTAGGGCACCGTGTTGACAGCTGCCGGCCAGTTAGATGTCCTGCTTTAATATGTGCTCATCTCCACAGTAAACTGTTTGATATAGGATGGGGTAGGAATTATCCTGCCCTGGGAGCTGTCCACACTGCTTTGCCTACTGCAGAAGAAAGTAGGGATGTTGGGCTGTGAGCAAGGACCCTGGAACAGGGGAAGAGAATGGGTTAGAATCCAGCCTTTGAGTCCCCAGGTGTTGTTGGAATACAACTCCCATCATCCCTTGCTAGCAGGACCAGAGGTCAGGGATGATGGAAGTTGTAGTCCCACAATGTATAGAGACCCTAGGTTGAGAAAGGCTGGGTTACACTGTTCCTGAAGACTAGTGGGCCTGAGTTGCTGCAGTAGTCATGGTACTGTGATAAAAGAGAGACAGAGACACAGAGCTCTAGGGTGCAGCAACTGACTCCACTGCAACATCTTACTCTCCTCCCATTCTTCCTCCATCCCATGCCTCCTGCGTTGTTATTGTTTTAATTTTATGACCCTTCTAACCATATTTATATCATGTATCTATATATCTACATATCTATATTCGCAAGGCACATCTAGGCTGCAGAAATGGATGGGAAAGAAGAGTAGGTGCCTTTTTAAAATCGGTTGTTATAAGTACCTGTATTAAAAGAAGTAGTAGTAGTAGTAGTAATCTGCTCCCCGATTTATCAAGAGTATTTTGGGCGAACTATTTCAATGTTTTAATGCAGCCGTTTAAGTAGAGTAAGCACAGAAACCGCTTTGTACACACGCTTACTGTGTATAATATGACATACGTCTAGAATCCACTCCCCTAGCTTGCCTTTCTGATACTCCTACCTCTTTAAGAGCTCGCCCCTTCCCTTTCTCCACCCCGCCCACCCCAGTGGAGCCGGAAAAGCGCAGCGAACTCTTCACTTTCTGAGAAGCAGTGACGCCTCTGGAGCTGCCATGGAACCAGGTATACTGTAATTGATCCTTGCGTGGGAGGGGAAGCTGGATCAGGATCCGGGATGGGTGGGGGTGGGGGAAACAACCTGGGAATTTGCGCCGATTCCCCTTCGTGTGCTTTTAGAAGCGCCCTCTCTTTCCTAGAATCCCGTTTTATCCTAGCACAACTTTCTGACGTTCCTTATCATAGCATCCTTTCTCCCAAAGTGGAGCGAGCGTGACCGCCACCTGTCCCGGCATGAAATCGGTGTCAGTGCCGATGAAGGAAAGATTTAGTTATTTATTACTTCCGTTTGTATATTCGTGCATTTTTCTTTGCCCGGCAAGCCGTAAAACGGTGCAAGCAGAAAACCTGACGTAGACGTGTGTGAGGGGGTCTCTTTTTTACAAAGGGGAGCTGCTGGTCGAACTGCTCCTCCGGGACCCCCGAGCCTGCGGCGGAGTTTGCAGCCCCGAGGGAAGGGAGAGGGAGGCGCGGAGTGTTCAGCTTTCGTTTCCTCCTCGCCGCGTGTTCCCTGCAGGTGGCAATGTGTACGAAGAGGCTCCCGGCCACGGGCCGCCCCCCGACGGCCAGGGGATCGACGTTATAAACGGCCCTATCCTGAATGGCCCTGAGGTTCAGGTAAGAAGCCCCTCCCACTCCCTAGCAAAGTATTCATAATGGGTGGAAATTGTCTTTCAATGCGTTTAAGAATGCGATCAGTTCTGCACAGTGGTTAGCGAGTGTCAGACTAGGACCAGGTTTTGCAGCCTAGCCTACCTCCCAGGGTTGTTGTGAAGATAAGATGAGGATAACAGGGGCTTGCTTTCTTTGATGTGGCTCTTCAACATGCGTGCAAGAACACGTGCATACCACTTATTCTCAGCAGCCTAATAATATTTCAGTGGTACCTGGGGTTAAGTACGCAATTTGTTTCGGAGTTCCGTTCTTAACCTGAAACTGTTCTTAACCTGAAGCACCACTTTAGCTAATGGGGCCTCCCGTTGCCGCTGCACAATTTCTGTTCTCATCCTGAAGCAAAGTTATTAACCTGAAGCACTATTTCTGGGTTAGCGGAGTCTGTAACCTGAAGGGTATGTAACCCGAGGTACCACTGTAATTAAAAAAACAGCCTTTGAATGGAGAACAGCCCTCTCTAGCATTGCCTTCCTCACCCTAAGTCATGGCCTTTTTATTTATTTTAATAATAATAATTTATTACTTATACCCAGACCATCTGGCCGGGCCTCCCCAGCTACTCTGGGCAGCTCCCAACAGAATATTGCAAACACGTTAAAACACCAAACATTAAAAACTTCCCTAAACATATTTATTGCATTTATATCCTGCTTTCTTGTCCAGGGAGCTCAAGGTGGTGAACATGGTTGCTGGCCTCCTCATTTAATCCCCAAAACAACCCTGTGAGGTTGGTTAGGCTGAGAGGCAGAGACTAACTCAAGGTCACTCAGTGAACCTCAGGGCCAAGTGGGGCTTTGAAACCTGGTCTCCCAGCTCCTAGTCTGGCACTCTATCCACTACCTCACAGTGGCCCTCATTTCTTTCTCTCTCTCTCTCTCTGAGATGGGACGCGGGTGGCGCTGTGGGTTAAACCACAGAGCCTAGGACTTGCCGATTAGAAGGTCAGCAGTTCGAATCCCTGCAATGGGGTGAGCTCCCGTTGCTCGGTCCCTGCTCCTGCCAACCTAGCAGTTCAAAAGCACGTCAAAGTGCAAGTAGATAAATAGGTACCACTCCGGCGGGAAGGTAAACGGCGTTTCCGTGCGCTGCTCTGGTTCGCCAGAAGCGGCTTAGTCATGCTGGCCACATGACCCAGAAGTTGTACGCCGGCTCCCTCGGCCAATAAAGTGAGATGAGCGCCGCAACCCCAGAGTCGGCCACGACTGGACCTAATGGTCAGGGGTCGCTTTACCTTTACTTCTCTGAGATATGTGGCATGCTGGCTGTCTGCCATGGGGGGGGTGAGTTTACCAGGGTGTTTCTCTTAATCCCTGTGTGATTCTTCTGTCTTTAGCTGGATGACTTTGTGGGGGCTCACGCCGAGTACGACGAAGAGAAGGAGGAGAGCAAGTACTTCCGCCGCAAGCGCTTTGGTGTGATCAAGAACCTCTTGGCGGCCAGCCTGGGGGGAATGCTGACCTACGGAGTCTTTCTAGGTATGCTACACTTTCATCGTCTTCATCTCCTGCTGCAACCCATAGCCTAGTCTCCATCAGATGTTCATCTACCTGCAAGTCCAGCCATACCTCTAGGTCAGGTGTGGCTAACTTTTTTCTGGTCATATTGATCCATTGCCAAGATTCTGGGGCAAAGTGTAAAAGTGGGTGTCGTGAAAACTGCAGTTCCCAGGGCTGCCTTCCGAAAAGACTTTCCCACCAGCTATTTTATATTTATTTTTGAAATAATTTGATCCCTGAAATCCCTGCCTGATCACTGACGTGGAATGGACTCCCTTGGGAGATTGTGGACTCTGCTTCATTGGAGGTTTTTAAGCAGAGGTTGGATGGTTATCTGTCATGGATGGTTTAGCTGGGATTCCTGCATTGCAGGGGGTTGGACTAGATGACCGTTGGTGCCCCTTCCAACTCTACAATTTTTTTATTCTATGATCTTCAAGGGGAGTAAGTGTTAGTAATCCCCTATGGTTCAGATACATGGCTTGTATCCATTAGGAACTGTGCATCCAACATTGTGGACCTAATTTTGCAGAGTTGAGATCAGGCAGGATCCCGCCCTTTTGAACTTCTTGTGCCGACTGAAGACTTTTTCAAAAATATATTGCATCAGGCATTTTAGCTGAATTCTGGTTTTATCATTTTAACAAGATTTATGTTTGCATTATATTGCGCTTCTTGTACATCACTTAGAAGTCGTTGAAATTAAGTGGTATATAAATGGTTGAAATAATGATGTCTCAAGGCAACTTGCAGCTTCCAAATTTAGTGGTATAGTGAGGCATGGAAGGACGAGGCAGCTGGATGGGAAACTCCAGGATCTGTTGGCTAAAGTGGATGATTAGCAGGACTCCACCACCATAGGGAGGTTATAGCCTGCTGAGATGTAGAGCAGATACAGGTTGACAACCATTTGGAATGGACCGATGTTTCTGCATCTCTCAATACTAGAAGCTGGAGCCATCCAATAAAGTTGAATATTGGAAGACAAAAGGGAGTACTTCCTCATACTGTGTATAATTAAACTCTGGAATTTGCTACCGCAACATGTAGTGATGGCCACTATGTTGGATGGCTTTCAAAGGAGATTAAACACATGAATGGAGGATAAATGTATCTGTGACCACTAGCCATGATGGCTACATAACTACCTCCAGGACTAGAGGCAGCATGTTTCTGAATAGCGTTTCAGGGAAGGCGAGTAGAGAAGTGCTGTTGTGCTCATGTTCTGCTCATGGCCTTCCCAGAGGCCACTACAGCAAAGGGGATGCTGGACTAGATAAGCCTTTGGTCTGATCCGGATGAGCTCTTTTTGTGTTCTTGCCTGTCTGTTTCTTGTGGTTCAGTTCCCTATCTTTGTTTTCAGCGGCTGATCCAGTCCTGTGACAGCTCAGTGCTTTTCCTGTGGTTCTGACCACAGCTATTTTATACCAGCCTAGGACATGATACCGTGGGTTCCTTACATAGCGCCACAATTGTTACGATTGCAATATTTCTGGTCTCTAAGCCAGGATTGCAACATCTGCTTGGGTGAAACCTTTATTTCCTCTTTCAGTTGAAGCTGAAGTTGCAACCCAACAGAAAAGTGTTGGTTTGCTGTGATAAAATTAAATCCGAAATGGTGACCTGTTGCAAACTTAAATCTCTAGTGGTGATTCGTTGCATGTAGCACACCCGTTAACTTCATAAAATGGAGGAAAGTGCTACTTTGTAGTTCATAAAGACCCTTTGGGATTACAGGTGTTGATTTGCTTGGTTTTTAGGGGCTCAGTCCACCAAACAACACTGTTTTGAAACTTCTCTTCACTTCCATGGTCCTTGTAGATGGTAATTAATGGAAGCAACACTGATGTTTAGGGAACTGCATGTGTATCTTTATGTGGGAGCACTAAAAATATGCTGCCTTCCTCACAAGGGCATTCTGGTGGCATAGTCCCAGAGGGAGCACTATCTGTTTTCATTTTCATTTTCCACATTTGATTCAGATCAAAAGCTTTTGGACCTTACCTTATAGTGAAGGAGCAGGATGTGCAAGTTGCATCCTACTATTCCTCTGCAGCAGAATAACAGAATAGCATCATCCTGCTAATCTAGAAGGAGCAGATCCAGTGGCAGGGAAGAGAAGCAGCTTATGATGCTTGACATCCTGATGAAACCTGGGCCTCTGCCTCAGCTTCCAAGAGTATATTAAAACGGGTGTCTTTTTAATGATTTCACCCACTTGGTCCTGTTGGATGGTGTAGGTCTCAGTGTGGTGTTGAACCCATTGAGGAAGCAAGCAGAGGGATCCTGGACAAGTCAGCTCTGTTTCTGAACATGACTATATCTTGCAGCCCTGGTGCAATCTCTGAATATTCCCTGCCGCTTGGAGAGAAGAGCCTTCATCAGCCACTGTTAGCATGTTTCCCCTTGGATGGGTGGGGAGCTAGTTTAGCAGTGTGGTACCTGTACTGAGGGATGCGGGTGGCGCTGTGGGTTAAACCACAGAGCCTAGGACTTGCTGATTAGAAGGTCGGTGGTTTGAATCCCCGGGATGGGGTGAGCTCCTGCTGCTTAATCCCAGCTCCTGCCAACCTAGAAGTTTGAAAGAACATCAAAGTGCAAGTAGATGAATAGGTGGGAGGTAAACGGCGTTTCCGTGCGCTGCTCTGGTTCACCAGAAGCAGCTTAGTCATGCTGGCCACATGACCCGGAAGCTGTACGCCGGCTCCCTTGGCCAGTAAAGCGAGATGAGCGCCGCAACCCCAGAGTCGGCCACGACTGGACCTAATGGTCAGGGATCCCTTTACCTTTACCTTTACCTGTACTTAACAAGGTTGTGCCAACTCTTAAGTGTCCCTGTCATCCCCCCTAGGCTTGCTGCAGATGCAGCTCATCCTGCACTATGATGAGACGTACCGAGAGGTGAAATACAGCAACCTGGAACTACAAAACATTGACAGCAAGATGCTGATGGGCATCAATGTCACACCTATTGTTGCCCTGTTCTACACTCCGATGCTCATCAGGTATTCCTCTGCTCTGACTTCCTGATCACCCCCTCTGAATACTCTTCATGCTATTCATACTTTTTTTGTTGGGGGGGAGCTATGCCTGGAATACAAATTTTGGGTGCGCCCATGCTAGGGGTTTTCTTGTAGACTTCTCACACTTTACCCTGCCAAAAGTGAGCGAAAACATGACAAGAGATGGGGGTAATGCACCTTCTGAAGCATGGAAGATTATGTAGCTTATAGTGCGAGAACAATCAGTGGGCAGTGCTAAAAACCCTCAGTGTGGACGCACCATTCTTTTGGAAGGGGTGAAAAAACCTGAATCCTGAGGTAGCTAGAACACAAGTAATCTCACAGCTGTTAAAACATTTCGCCCTGCCCAGAACACAGACCTATTTTTTTCTGTCTTTCCAGATTCTTTGGCACCAAATGGATGCTGTTCTTGGCCGTGGGTGTCTACACACTCTTTGTCTCCACCAACTACTGGGAACGCTACTATACCTTGGTACCATCGGCCGTGGCCATCGGGGCTGCCATTATACCTCTCTGGGCCTCCATGGGCAATTATGTCACCCGGTGAGCCTGTTGCAGAAGGGAAAGACACGAGATTGAAAGACCTCCCCGAGTGTCTTTGCATGGCCCTTACCATACATAAGTACCATTCTGGTCACTTAGCGACTCTCCTTAACAATATTGTGAATTCCCGACTGGTGTTGGCATTGAGATGTTCCATCGTCAATGTGGTAAATGGGTTTTGGGTGTTCTGGTTGCACCAACCTGCAGAAGCATTTCTTGGCAGCTTCCATGGGAGGAGGAATGTTACAGCAGGTATAAGGAGCATGTGGTCCTCCAGATGTCCTTAGTCTCTTGCTCCCAGCGTGGTGTAGTGGTTAAGAGCGGTAGTCTTGTAATCTGGGGAACCGGGTTCGCGTCTCCACTCCTCCACATGCAGCTGCTGGGTGACCTTGGGCTAGTCACACTTCTCTGAAGTCTCTCAGCCCCACTCACCTCACAGAGTGTTTGTTGTGGGGGAGGAAGGGAAAGGAGAATGTTAGCCGCTTTGAGACTCCTTCGGGTAGTGATAAAGCAGGATATCAAATCCAAACTCTTCTTCTTCTTCTTCTTCTTCTTCTTCTTCTTCTTCTTCTTCTTCTTCTTCTTCTTCTTCTTCTTCTTCCCATCATCCACAGCCAGCATAAGGGTGGTGGGAGCATCTCACAGCATACATAAACATACAGTCGTACCTCAGAAGTTAAACACCTTGCGAGACGAACATTTTGGCTCCCCAATGCAGCAAACCCAGAAGTGATTGTTCCAGTTTGCGAACGTACTTTGGAACCCAAATGTCTGTTGTGGTTTCTGCAGCTTCCTATTTGCTGCAGCCAATTGGAAGCCGTGCCTTGGTTCCTGAATGTTTTGAAAGTCAAACGGATTTCCAGAACGGATTCCATTCGACTTCTGAAGTACGGCTGTACTGACCTTCATTTTTGACTTGTTATGCTTTTATTGTATGGTTGTCATTCGGTCGTGCTTTGGTGTAATTTTGTGATGTAGCAGTGTATACATTTTTTATATATATAAATCAATAAAACAAATAAATCTGGAGCGCCACAGGCTCCCTACCCTGTCCCAGAGTGTGTCCTGGAGAGAGCAGGTGGGCAGCTGGTTGCACTCACCTGGTCATCTGATATGTTCGACTTGCCTCAACAGGATGGCACAGAAGTACTATGAATATGCGAACTACAAGTTGGAACATGTCCAGGAGCAGCAAAGGGCACCACGTGGGGCCTACAACTCCTACATTGTTGGCTTCCAGACTGTCTTTTATGCCATCTTCTACGTGAGAGCTCTATTAAAAGGGTTTTTTTTCATGCACCTTTGGGGTGGAGTGGGATGTGTGTGTATTCCCCATTGCCTCTCCTTGTCTGTTGGGAAATGGCAGCCATCAGTGATATAGTTCAGTGAGGGGACACCCTCACACTCTCTGCACATGTTGGGTTTCTCTCTCTCTCCTGCCCACAGTTGGTTTATCTTGCATTCTCTCTCACCCTGTTTTCCAGCTGAGCTTTGTCTGTGCCCAGTTTCCCATGTTTTTCTTCATAAAGGGGCACCTCTCTGATTTGAACCACACTCTCTGCCGCGTACAGCACTGCGGTGAGTATCCTGGCTGAGGGGCTGTAGCTCAGTGGGTAGAGCATCTGTCTTGCATGCAGAAGAGGTGTTCTGCTGGCTGACTTGCTGTAAGGTAGCCATTTACCTCCACCCCCATTCCTTCAGCAAATGGAGCTTAATATAAGTTGCCTCTCTGATATCTTGGGGGTGGGGCAGATTGAAGGAGGAATTTGTTGTAAAGTTACCTGTCTATGTATTGGGAGGAGGTTGGATTACCAGACAAAATCAGCTGTGCAGTTAATGAAAAAAATGAATGGGGAAAATAGGAAGATGGAGGGATTTGGAGAAATTTCTTTGGGAGTGTCTTGGAGCAAGTGAGTCAGTGAATGGTCTAGGCCTTCCCAACTGCTGGCTCCAGCCTGATCCATTGGCATGCAACTTCCTACTGTCCATACATGGCCACCTCTGGGCAATAAGTGTTCCCACCCCTGCCCTTTATACCCATGATCCTGATCTTTGGGGACCCTTTCCCAACTAGGCCTGTGGTCTCTGAAAGTGCTGGGTTTTTTTCCTTGCAGGGACCAAGAGCCATGGGATTCTCACAGGGTTCAACACCACAGTTCTGCAGAAGCTGCCACGCAGCAATGAGCTCATCACGGTGGAGAGTGTGCTCATGGGAGTGGCCTTCCTCTCAATGCTCCTGGTATGAAGCTAGGGACAAAAAAACACAAGGGCAAAGGCATGGATTAACTCACCATGCTTGTGGTCATCATGAAATCAGTAGTAAAAGCAATACATTCTGCAACCCAGATTCCTCTGCCCCTAAAATGTGTACACAGTTGGCAGGTAAATCACATACAAAGCAAATGTGTTCATTGTGCACGTGATAGTGCAATCCTCTTGAACCCCCTACGTACATAAGAAAAGCCTGCTGGATCAGGCCAGTGGCCCATCTAGTCCTGTTCTCACATAGGCTAACCAGATGCCTATGGAAAGCCTGCAAGCAGGACATGGGTCCCCTCCTGCTGTTTCTAGCACCTGGTATTCAGAAGGATATTGTCTCTTGACTGTAAAGGTTATGTGGCTGTATTCCAGGCAGGTTGAGGAATATGTCCCAGCTGGAAACATAACTATGGATCAGTGCATTGACCTGTATATCTGCAGCAGCCACACACTAGGATTGCCTCTGTCTTTACCTAGCTGGGTATGGGTGCTCCACCTGTATGGGCTGGAGCATAGGGTAAGAGTTGTTGTTGTTGTTGTTGCTGTTGCTGCTGCTGCTGCTGTTGCCACATGGATTGTGGACCCAGGTAAGAACTTTCAAGTGGTACTACTCAAAGATACAGCCATATCAAAAACTGTCCCTTAACATAGGTGGAAATGAGGTTAAATGAGATGAACAAAATCTCTGGTCTGTGTAAATGTGATCCATTTCTTTATTTTACACTGCAAGGGGCAGAATTAATATGGATACTGGGTTACCATTGAAAACAGCAGCCCCATGATGAGTCCCCTTGCCCCATCTGTAATACTTAGACTTCTGATGTCATCTTGTTTCATATTTCTCTGCCTCATATCATTGGCTACCGCCAATGTGTATGTTTGGCAGAGGAGGTGATGGGACAATGCAGGAAATTATGCTTAAACATTCCCAGCAGAGATGGGGAATCTGGGGCCCTCCTTATAATTTGTGGACTGCAGCTTCCATCATCCCTGACCATTGGCCATGCTGGCTGGGGCTGAGTTCTGCTATTGTGTGGAAGGTCACGGGTGCCTCCTTTTAACAAGGAGAGTATAGGGAGAGCCCTGGTCATTTTCTGATATCTCAGTGCCACACCTTTCTGTTTCCACAGGTGTTGCTTCTGTGTGGCTCAGCCTATCGCCCCACAGAGGAGATAGATTTGCGCAGCATTGGCTGGGGCAACATCTTCCAGCTGCCTTTCAAGCACATGCGGGACTACCGCCTGCGCCACCTCATTGTCTTCTTCATCTACAGTGGATTTGAGGTGGTCTTCTTCTGCACTGGCTTCACCCTGGTAATGCGAAGTCCTCTCAGGTTTGGAGACAGGAAGGGCTGGGCAAGTACCCAAGTACCTCCGTGCTAACCGAAAGGTCCTTCCTCTCCACTTCCCAGAACTATGGTGTCTGCTCCATCGGCCTGGAGCGCATGGCGTACATCCTCACAGCTTATGGGCTCTCCTCTGCTGTCTGCTCCACCCTGGGTCTCTCTATGCTGTGTCTGCCGCGCCAAGTTCCCCTGCTTGCCGGAGCATCGGTCCATGCCATCCTCTTGATCGGCCTCTTCTGTTGGGCACCTCAGGCCCGTAGCTTAGGCGAAGAAGCCCTGCTCTATCTGGTAGCTGCACTCTGGGGTCTTGGCAGTGCCCTCAACAAGACAGGCCTCAGCTGTGAGTAAAACAATACCCCTTTTGTGTCGGAGCCTTATACCAAGTCAAATCATCAGTCTGTCTAACTCACTATTGTCTATGGCAGTGTTTCCCAAACTTGGGTCTCCAGCTGGGTTTTTTTAACTACAATCCCCACCATCCCTGACCACTGGTCCTGCTAAGATTGATGGGAGTTGTAGTCCAAAAATAGCTGGAGACCCAAGTTTGGGAAACCCTGGTCTACAGTGACTGGCAGCAATTCCCAAGTTCTCTCCCATCCTACCTGGAGATGCTTGGGATTGAACCTGGGACCTGCATGCAAAGCAGAGGCTGCAAACAGTGCCTGCACTTGGTGTAGTAGCTGTTGTACCTTCCACAGACTAGGACAGGAGTAGCCAATGCTGTGCCCTGCTTTTGGACTCTCAACTCCCATTAGCCCCAGCTAGCATGGTCAATCGCTAGGGATGATAGGAGTTGGCAGTCCAACAGCATCTGGAGGACATCACCTTGGTTTCCTCTGGACTAGGAGGTACAGCAAGTGAGCTGGACAATACCATGGTAACAGCAACTCTCTGAAATGGTGTGATAGATGCTGGTTACCTGGAAGAGGCTCAGTTCTAACTGCTTTAATGGCAGGTAGTGTCTTCTGTGAACTTCAGTCTCCCTTGACGGCATCATTGATCACTAGTAAAGCAAAATAATGGGCTTGTTCACACATGGCACTCAACACAGATGCAAGTGGTTTCTCCATCTGTACAAGTGTCTATGTGAAACATTGTATGCTTGTTGATCTATTGTGTACACAGCTGAACATTACATGTCAACAACTGTGTGAATGTACAGCTCCTTTGTTTACATGCATTATAGACTGGTCATGCGTGAGCACCCCTAGTAACTGCCCCCAAGATATTTTTCCATGGTTTGTTACACATTTTGGAGGGGAGCATTTTATAAGATGCATCATTTTCCTAACCTTTCATGCTAGTCTATACTGAGAACAGCGGAAATAATGCAGCGGTGTCTTGTAGCACCTTAGAAGGCTTCACACATTTATTATGGCATAAGATTTCTAGGATTACAATCTGCTTCTTCAGAATCATGAAGGGTTATCAGGTCCGTGTGTGTGTGTGCGCGCGTGCACAGACATGTGCATACACACACACACACACACACACACATATGGGTGAAGGGTGATTGTGAAGAATAAGATAGGCAATGAAAGCTAATAGTCTCTGAATCTAGTTGCTGCATCCCTGTCCCCTGCCCTTTCCCTACAGCACTCCTGGGGATACTTTATGAAGACAAGGAGCGTCAGGACTTTGTCTTCACCATATATCACTGGTGGCAAGCCATAGCCATCTTCGTTGTTTATCTCTGGTCTGGACTGCCCATGAAGGTGAGTGGGAAGTCTGGCATTGCATGAATTCTTTGACCTCTCTGGCTCTTGGTGGCGTATGAAGATAACTATGAAAGGAGGAGAGTTCCTCTGGCCTGGGGATAATAAGAGAATAAATTTAAAGCCAGTAGTGTTGTGAAGGAACTTGAAGGAATGAGCAGAAAGGGTTAATGGAATGGCGCCTAGGTGACAGTTCTCCTTTGCCTAGGTCATATCTGCAGAACTGACCTTTGTGTTAACTGATGGAGCCTCTCTTCCTTCTAGGCCAAGTTATCCATCGTGCTCGCTACTCTGGTAGCTGCAGTAATATCTTACCTGTGGATGGAGCGTAAAATAGCCCAGATGATCCCTCATCGCCTCCCCAAAATTCCCAAGCCCCGTCACAAGGTGCGAGGCTATCGCTACATGGACGATGATAACTCTGACGAGACTGGCTCTGAGAAGGAAGAGGATAAGGAGAGCGACTCCTCTGAGGATGAGACAGAAGGGGAGGAACCCAGTGGCCTCCGTGATCGACCTCGCCGAAGGAACAGATGCTCCTATGAGCAGGCCTTGGGAGGGGAAGGGGGAGAGAATGTGGGTTAGTGCCTGCCCTTTTCTCACCTGTCTGGGTTGGGACATGACTCTCAGGTGCCTTTGGCATCAGCCTCTCTCCATCGCTTGAATCCTCTTTCTGCCATGTTTCAACTTTGTTGGGACCACAGGCTGTGTTTGAGCCATTTCCTTACCTCGCTCCTGACACTTCAGCTACAGTTGGAAGAGAATGAAGCTTCAAAGGCACACTTCCTGACAAAAGTTCTTCACGCCTCCCCTGCCTGATATGTGGCGGGATTCGTAAACTCCAACTTCAGACTGTGGGTGGTACAATATATCCAGGCATCTCCCCATGGAAAAGTTTAGGTGGATTGTGAGAAATAAGTACAAGGTACGAAATGTCAACGCTTTAGATGCGTAAGCCCCTGGAGGTTGGGAGAAGGGGGATTACGTCGAACTTTTCTTAGTCTTTAGAAACAAATGGCAGTAAAGTCTTGGTACATTTTCATAAGTTCTTTTACTGTGTAGGTTGGCTCCTGAAGGTGTTTCTGTGGCCTATCACAGTTGGCCCTATTGCTGGTGGGTATTCTCTCTCTGATAATATGCAAGTTTATCCACTAAAGACCTTGCAACAAAATTGATCCTGCTCATTTGACACCCAGTGCTCACATGATAAACCAATAAAGAACTTTGTCTTCAACTGTTGATAAAATGTACTCAGCATAAAAGTTGACTGGCAGCAGCTGTGTGTCAGCTGTCTTACTTAGCAGGAAATTCCAACTGCACAGTTCCTGAGCACTGTGCAGTGATTGCTCTTTGGTTGTAAGCCAGGGCCCAATTTTGCCCATGAGGTCTATTTCCCCCAAACTACACTCACCTGCCTTACACCTGATGTCAGCTGCAAGGCAGGTAAAGATGCAACATGATTAGCTGTATGACTTGGGTTCTCCATGAGGAATTTATACAGTCACAGTCTGCAGAGGGCAGCTTTTCCAGCTCTGTGTGTAGTGCTTGGGAAGTGCTGAGTGCAGGACATGGGAAGCACTTTGCACATCACTGACTGGCTGCCAGGTGCTTGGGAAGTGATCTGCAAGGAGGCTTTGACAGGTGTCAGTCATCTGGAGATTTCAGGTTGCCTTGTGGGTTTGACAACCCTAGTACGGAGAGAATCTTGGTTAGCCTCAAGCTTAGACTTTGAATCTGAACTGGGAGGCAGAGGGGAGCTTGGCAGGGACCATGTTGGCAAAGCCGGATAAAGGCAACACTGAGCTAGGTAGTCCAGTGGCCTGAAGGGATGCAAGACAGTGTCCTGTCTTCTTGGTCCAAGGACCCAAGTTTAATCCTCAGCATAACACTGACAGCTGAAAGGAAATCAGGCAATACTGTAAATATTTGGGGCAGGGAAGAAGTAGGGGCACTATGGAAAGAACATCCTCCCCAAGGCAATCTCTTGAGTTGGGGGGGTGTGCAGAGGTGAGGACACAAATCTTCATTGCTCATCGTGCCTCAGACAGTGAGCCACTGTAAGCACCAGGAATATTCTTTATTGTAAAGGATCCCCCCCTTTCCCTGATCCTATTTTTATATGCTCCAGTTCCCTCAAAACCTGTTTTTATCATTTTTAATATGCCTTTATACTACTGTTTTACTGGTTTTGTATTTTTGTTTTAGTTGTTTATAGTTTCTACATTGTATAATTCAACACTGTATTTTTTTTTAATGGTGGAACTGTTTCTAAATGATTTTAAATAAAATACATTAATAAAGGTTCACTTGAAGCAAACACCTTAAGAGATGCAGCAAATATATTTCAATGAAAGGAGAACTTTTCCAAACCTAGGGATCCTTATAAAATTATTTGGGATTGAGGAATTCTCATTGAAAGGCACATCTATGTTTTACATCTGTGTAGGTGTGACAGGCATGGGAATCCCGAGAGACCAAAAAGTTGGCAACTCAAGTAGACAGGAAGGAGCCAACCCTGATTTCTCTTCTGTGCCTCCAGCTGGTCCTACCCCAGCTTTCCTTCAGTCGCATTCTCTTGGAGTTCTTCCCTCCGCTCCCCTATTAACTGCCCCTTGTCCTTTTGTGACATCAGAGGCAGTCTGTAGATAACAGCATCAGCACAGCCTCCCCGAGCCTGAAAATTCTGGGGACACCTCAGCAGTAATTTTTTTCAACTATTAACAATATTTACAGCCCATCCTTCATGTTTGCTGATATGGGTGAGGCAGGTCTCAGAATAAACTCAGGTATTTGATCTTCCATTATCTGTCTTTAAATAAAAAGACAGAATAGACACTACAGGTTGAGGTATATAGAAAAATATTTACCTGCTAACTTCCACAGGTTTCATCTATTCATGAATATCCACCAGTTTCCTTTCACATGCGTACACTCACATGACCATATTTGAAACCTTCCATACACACACACACACAGACACACAGGCATAAGATAACCAACATCCATGAATAATTCCATCAGACACATTCACTCATATTTCACTCTGCATTAATTCACGTTCAAACAGAGTGACGCAGTGGAAGCGTGCTGGGCCCATAACCTGTTGTTGGGATACTGCCAGGGAGACAAAGGCATCAGGCAGCCTACACGTCGTCTCCAGACAATCTCTCGATCTCCCGTAGAACAGCATCAGTCAATTAGCGATACGAGCCTCAGACACATTCCAAGACTCATGCACGCCCTTTCTGCAGAGTTTCCACAACGGAAGATGCACCCAGAAGAGCATATTTACAGCTTTATTCAACGTTGGTCAGAACAAAGGTAAAACATGACTGCTTGCTTTCATGTCGAGGAAACAGCCAGAAGCAAAGGCTACCATATATACAAAACGGAAACTCCCTGTGAGTAGGAAGTACGCAGGCTTGTGACACACAACAGCCTGTTCCCTTTTTAAGGAGGAACGGAAATATCCTAACAGCCTTTACTCCACAAACATCCCCCAGCTTCAGCTGACCAGCTTCTGAAGGTGAATTTCAACCAACTTACATTCCCAAATATCAGCCTGCTTCAGCCTTCCGACACCCATGGGCTTCCAAATGTGAACTCCACCAGCTTACATCCACCAATATCTGACAGCTTTTGCTACATAAATCACCAGACATCAGTCAGCTCCTTACCATGGATATCAGCCACTTTCAAGCTGTGATCCTACTCAAGTAAAGTTGCCTTATCACTCCATAACATCCCACAGCCAGATGATCACATTTGTCCATCTGCCAATTCACATCCTCCATGTGGAAAAAGACCAGGCAATGCTGAATGTCACAGCTATTGCTATTGCTTTCTGCGTTCTGTTGGGAAAGAGTAAAAGGCCCACATTTATATTCACTAGGTTGCCATGTTTGTGATGTCACAGATAGTCTGTAGCCAATGGCAACAACTGAGGATGCTGCATCATAATCTCAGGCCTCACAATTATAAAGGCAGCTCAGTAGCGATTTATCTATGTGCTTGTTTATTATTTAAAATATTTATAGACCAGCCTTCATCTGTACTGATACCAAGTGGGAACAAACCTTAAAATTGTTGTAGGGGATCTTTTTCAGCACAAAGGCCACATCTCCCTGAAGGGTGTTGCATGGCAGTGGTGGTTAAGGGTCAGAGTGGAGTGGAGCAATGTGACTCATTTTTGTGTGCAAAAGGCAACTCTAAATTTTTTACGACAGTTGGGAAGTCTGGTTATGAAGACTAACTGTATGAAACACTTTTGTATTGTGTAAACAAAATCTGCCCTTTTCCCCTTATGGGGTATCCAAGAGCCCATATAGAGTCCTTACGTAGGTTCCCTATTGGTAGGAGAAAATAGCAAAGGCCAACCAGAGAATATTGAGAAGCAAAGCAGCTAGTAAGCCTGATCTTTATTGATCTGTTGCAACAGGGTGCTCCCCTCACATACAAGAAAGGAGGAAGAACCCAGAACAATGGCATGCAAGGCCTTATATAGATATTTTTAATTCCCTGCCCTGGAGCTCAAGACCACCCCTCCATACATCATACATATATCACAGAAGGGGTGTAACCCAAGACCACCCCCCACATACCTACATCACAGAAAAGGTGGTCTAAAACAGAAATCTGAATGATTTGTTTATCTCGTCTGACAGGTTACCTGTTTAATGGATTGGATTGCCTGCTTACTTGATTAGATACCCTGGGGAGCCTTGCCAGTCTTTGGTAATGATAAATACTTAGTTCCTAAGTCAGGTCACAGGCTCACCCTATTCAAACACAGACATACCCTTAAGACAGGATTTGTGAAGGAAAAGACAATGGGGAGGCTTTATTTTCCTTTGACCTTGCAGAGAAAACATTTGGTCAGTTTGGGACTGTTTGGGATCAAAAATGGTTCTAGGTCTGTCTTCCTGTGCTGATCTATGTATGTGCTTGGTTGGTACACTTATGAACATTTAACATATATCTAAGACCTCAAAATTCTTATCACAGTATGGCGGTTTAGGGTTTGCCAACAAATGTCTGGGTGTACATTTGTCTACTATGTTTTGTGTGAGGTTTCTAGTACTACAGGTAACATTCTACATCTGGGCAGCCCAGATCCTGCCAGTGTAGCAATCTCAGCTACACAAATGTAATTGAGTAGAAGAGCCTTCCTAAAAAATATGGGGGGAAAACCAAAACACACAACTGAAAACAAAAATCATAAACACTTAGAAACAGCAGCAACTTTCGGCAATGAAATGGCCATTCTTAGTCGATTGGGCCAGAGTGTCAGATCTACAAATGAATTCAAACTCAGCCATTCTGTTGGAATCTCTTTTTTTGAAGTAAGACAACTTTCCAGTTTGTTACAGAATATCCAGGGAGAACAAAATTCTGCCTCGGTGGTTTCTGAGTGTCACCATTTTTTTAACGTTTGGTTCGTTTCCTTCCATGTATTGACTGATATCTTGCATTGAAATAACCCAGTTTGGCTTATGTAGATAACTGCCAGAAGTGGCCTTCTGCTGTGTTTCCTCTTCCTAAGAATAACGCTATTCGCTCTTTAAAGTAAAAAAAAAAAAGTCAATAGGAGGCGGGGGGGGGAGGGAGGAGACAGATGATGCTTAAATAGATCGTGCTCGCTTTCCTCCCATCCACGTGTCCCCTCCTTAGGCTGCCGGGAAGCAGAGTCCTTCCTCTTTTGCTGAGGACTACGACCTCCACAATGCACTTCGGCCGGCACTGCGCAAGCGCATGAGGTGACCTCAAAGGCCCTCCGCTGCCTAGAGGCTTCCGGGAAGTATAGTTCGGAGCTGCGCGGCGTCTGCGGCGCAGTACGCCGCGGCGGACTCCATCCCCCAGCATGCTTTGCGGGGAGGAGGCGCCGGCGTGAGGGCGAGCCGACGGCGCGGGGTCAGCCAGTCACGTGCAGTACGAGGTGCGTGTGCCGTTGATGCTAGAGGAGGAGGAGACGGAGACGACGACGAAGAAGACGACGACGGTGGAGGCGGAGGCTGCCGCTGCTGCTGCCGCCGCTGTTTCCGCCGCTGTTGCTCTGGCTGCGCTGCGCGGGGGCTGTTTTCGTCGCTCTCCGCGGCTGGGCCCGCAGCGCGCGCCAGGGAAGCCCCCGAGCCGCTCGGCCGGGCGACGGCAGCACCATCGGCAGCATGAGCGACAACGATGACATCGAGGTGGAGAGCGACGTGAGTCTCTCGAGGCGCTTCCTCCCCGCTCCCCTTCCCGGCCTTTGCTCGGTCGGCCAGTCGGTGCGCCGACAGGGACACCCGCGCGGGTCTCTCTCTCTCTGCCCGTCTGTGTGTCTCATTGCAGGAAGAGAAGCCGAGGTCTCAGCCCCCGGTGCTTATCTCTCCACAGGCCCCGCTTCCCGGCTCCTCAGGCAGAGAGGGAGGCCCGGCGGCCGCAGCCCCTGCCCGAGTTGGCGGGGAGGGGGAGGAGCAGCAGTGTTTGTGTGTGTTGTTGGCAGGCGCCTCGTCCTGGCCCGCAGTCTCGCCTGAAGGGGGAGGAAGAGGGGCGGGGGGCGGCTGCGTCTGGGGTCGGAGAGACAGACAGACACCTGTTTGGGAGAGATTGTGGCGGTGGCGAGGTTGGAGCTGCTCCCGGGCTGGGCTCCAGGGGAGGAGACTTTTATCTAGGCCTCGTGCAGCTTGGCTGGGTAGTGATGGTGGTGCTTGGAGGTGGGGGGAGGCGAAGGGATTAGAGGGGGAAGCAAAGGACGAGGTGCTCAGAGGGTTTTTTTTGGGGGGGGGCGACTGTGGGCTGAAGGCCAAGAGTGGAGAGTCGAAAATCTGGGGCAGGGAGCAGCCATTGTCGTGTTGAATATAGAAGGCCGAAACCACAATTTTGCAGTGGGGTGAGGAGGGTTGGCTGTGATGGGAGCCCTGGCAGTTTCACCCTTGAGCTGCATCCCGCCTCCCAGGCCAGGCATGTGATGGAATCATATACTGCAGAGGGGAATTGCCTACATTGGCAGAAAGCATATAGCACTATTTATTTCCTTGGGAGTCTGGAAGAGACGAAGACACGCTGTCTGGAGGAGCAGGGGATTTAGAGAAAAGACATCCACAATCGGGGGTGGGTGTTTTAAAATGTATATCCCTGGTCTGTAGCCTTATCTTTCAGGGCAGCAAAGTGCACTGTCTTTGAAAGGCCTCTTTGGGGCTGCGAAGGGTTTTCTGCTTGCAGGATGCTGCATGCTGAAGGTTCCAAGAGGGTTGTGGAAGAGCCCCCCTCCTGCTGCTGCTGCCAGGGGATTTAATGAGCGAGAAGCTGGGAATTCTCTTATTTTGGTGTTTAATCTCCTTAGTGGATTATAGTGGAAATGCTGGCCTCTACAGAAAACTTCCACAAAGCAGCTTACTCTGACTCAGTTGTTGAATATTTAATTTTTATATGTGTGTGTGTGTGTGCTACTTGGATGTGCTTTCTAGCATCCCTAGCAATTTATAGTAAAAGCGAATTTCAGGTTTAAAGCCTTCTTATTCTTGAAATCTACACTATGATGCACAGCTTTGTTTGTGACCATGCAGAACAGCCAGTGATAGGGTTTTTCTGCGTTGCCTTTGCCTATTGGAAAGTTTTTTGTAGTGTATTGTAGCACTAGAAACTTGTGGATGCTGGTATACTACAGCCTCTAAGGAATTTAATTAAGTAACTTTGCTTGTTGAGTGTGGATAAAAGTGCAAAGGAGAGTAGTGTTTAATGTATAGTCAACATTTTAGAAAAAGGGTGGATTGATTTCTAATTAAATTGTAAAGAAAAAATGTCAAACTTAAGTCAAGTTTCCTATTTGAAATCTACATGTCTACTGAACATACATACTGACTAGTTTCTATAGCAAAGCATAATGACTTGCAACTAAACACAGCTTTTATATAAACCAGCAGTATAATCCAAAACCTTCAGCCATGCAGTGCAGGTTGGCTGCAAATTTGCACCTGCTCCATTAAACATTTGTTATTGGGCAAAAAGGAAACTTCACTAAAAAGTGAATGTCCATGCTGATTGTCAAAAATATCAATAATTTGAAAACTCCCATTAGAAGAAGGATGGGGAGGCTCTTACTTCCTGCAGCTTCCTCTGTTCCCCTGAAAAGCTCCTCCAGAGGATTGGTGGGACAGGGCTTTGTGATCCCACCTTCCAGCAGGAGCATCCAGTAAATCTCAGTTCCTTCCACAAACAGGAGTAACTCCTATGCTGGAACCATACAAACCTGTGCCCCTTAGGATGCCACAAAAAAGTCATGTATTTATATGGATTGGTATCAGGTTTCTTGGTTTGTTTTTTGCCAAAATACATATTTCCCCTTATATGTTTTCTTCTATGCATCTTTAAATAGAAAGGCATTCTTTTTAACAGTAAATGTGTTTAATAGATTGCCATGATTTAGTTTAAGAGATTGTAAGTGTAGAGCTTAACATTTGTATTAAATTAAGATTCCATTTTAAAGGATGTTATATAAAATCTGCTTTTTAATAATGAATACTGATCCACCTTGAGAAAAACTAACTTAGTTGCTGTTGTACATGCCTGTCCAGTTCAAATTGCCTGGCTTTAGAGAATGTACAGAGGTCCAGCTTAATATTTACTCAGTTTAACAAATCAAGGTGTAAGACGCTTTTCCTCCTTGTTGTGCTAAACAGGAAAACATACCTTAGAAAAAGAATTCTGTTTCCATGGTGAAATATGCAACCACTGAAATTCATGTTGCTAAAGAAAGAAGCAAAATTATTTCTACTTACTTTCTGGTGGATATTCCTAGGAACAGTAGGTCTACAGAAGAATTTTAAGCTATTGAAATTTTCTTTAAAATATGACTGGGTTGAAGGCCAGTGGGTGATGTTTCACAGAGAGCTGCTAGGAAGTTGACTAAAGCTGAATAGTTGAGAAAAATCAGCATTATGTTTTCCAAATTTTGTGTGAATGGTTACATTAATTTTATTGATTATTAATGAAAATGTCTGTTTTGTTTTATTCTGGCAAATTCATGTTCGTAATGAGCAGTTGCAGGTGTTGAGAAACCAGTTGTGTTAAGGGGGGGAGCAACTAACAGGTAGCACTTCACTTGCATTAAAAGCACTTCATATACCTCAAGGATGTGTGTTGCGTTTATGGTGTGGTGTGTGTGCTGGAACCCTTCCGGCTACCTGTAGTTGGATTGTTTTGTTTCAAGTCCTCCCATTTTTGCAAATTGACTTTCTAACTGTGGTGCACTTTTTGAGGGGAAAGGGGCTGTAGCTTAGGAGTAGAGAATGTGCTTTACATGCAGAGTGTTCCAGGTTCAGTCCCCAGCATCTCCATGTAGGGATGAGATAGACCCCTCTCTGTGAAATACTGGGAAGCCACTGCCAGTCAGTATAGACAATACTGAGTTAGATGGAACAATGGTCTAATTTGGTATATGGCAGCAATGTTCCTGTAAGATCCTGAACCTCCTTTTGATTCTTATGGTGGGTGAGCACCATTCACTCAGTGTACTTGGACTACTCATTATATTTTAGGAGAACTTTTATTTGAGTTTTGTAACATAGCTACATAATTTAATTTGTGATGACTACAAATTCAGAGGCACTTCTCTGTTGTATTGGTGAATGCCAGTATGTGAAGAAGAGTACTAAATATTTGCCAATTGCATGAGATGAGCATAGGCTTGTGGCTGCCATTCCATATAGAAATTTGGGAATATTGTCCCAAAAAGTCATGTTTCTGAGAAACATCATGCTTTCAGTAGCTAGTAGGGCTGAGCGATGTCTGAAATAAGGATGGAACTATTGTACAGGTGAACGGGTTAATGCTTTGGCAACTGCTACTACTCAGGAGTCTAAAACAGATACATTTTTATTTACTTTTAACATATTGTTACAACTGTTATTTTATAGTACAGTTGTACCTTGGATCCCGAACACCCTGGGACTCAGGCATTTTGGCTCCCAAGCGCCGCAAACCTGAAAGTGATTGTTCCGGTTTGCGAACGTTCTTTTGGAACTCGGACATCTGGCGGGGCTTATGCGGCTTCTGATTGGCTGCAGGAGCTTCCTGCAGGAGCACATGCACACATCATAATTCGTGATATATCACCATGCCGAATATTATGAAACTGTTACCACAATGTGGACTTCCAACCAATTTTGGACAATTTACTGATGCATCGCCTAGCCCTAATGATCAACTTAGGCCAATTAATTTCAGTGGGGCTACTCTAAGTAAAAGTTAAGTTGGATACAACAGTGAAATAATAAAATACCATAAAAACGGACTATACCACAGCATTCATAAAAACCTGAGTTCTGGCAGCTTTGCCTGCATTATCTGAGTACTTTGAACTGATTTTCGACCATGTATTGATACATCGGCCAGCCCTAGTGGCTATCTATATTGCCTCTAGCATTTTATATTTTATGGGGGTAATTGGGGCACTAGAAAGCAGAAGTAGACCTCCAGTGTTGTTGCATGGTATCTCCCATTATTCCTGAGCATTGGTTACGCTTGCTCTGGCTGATGTGGGTTGGACTTAAACAACATCTCCAAGGCCATAGGCTAGCCCACCCTGTTGTAAAGACCAAAGAGTTCTGTTTTAGGGCAATATGGAATACAAACTGAAGTCACATCCTGCTTGCTATGTTAATCTCTAAGTTTTTGGATGGGTGACTGTTTGATGCAGGGGTCAACAAACTTTTTCAGCAGGAGACCGGTCCACTGTCCCTCAGACCTTGTGGGGAGCCGGACTATATCTTGAAAAAAATATATGAATGAATTCCTATGCCTCACAAATAACACAGAGCTGCATTTTAAATACAAGGACACATTCTACTCATGTAAAAACACACTGATTCCCGGACCGTCTGCAGGCCGGATTTAGAAGGCGATTGGGCTGGATCCGGCCCCTGGGCCTTAGTTTGCCTACCCAAGGTTTGAGTCTTGTCTACTTAGAAGACTAGGGTAAAATTACTGTGTGCCACAATTGTCACATGTGGTTCAAAGCCTATTGTGCTGCTGTGGATGCCTGTAAGAGTTGCTTCTTTTGAGAATTGTCTCTTCAGGTTGAGATAAAGCAGAATGTTGCGAGGCTACCAAATGCCCATTGTGATATGATAAATACATATTTTCAGCTGCCAAAGACGGAGCCTTCAATGTGCAGCATTAGGGCTAGATTTCCAAGGACTTTCCCCAGCATTTGGTTCAATGTGGGCCTAGTTGCTGTCAAACTCATGATACGTCTTAACATACCTACCTGAATAAAAGACTAAGATCCCTCCTTTATATTCAGCTGCCTGGCTCCTGGCAAGTTATAAAACCAAGATTGGGTTTTCAGAGCTAAATTCCACTGTTTCTTTTCTGGTTTGAATGGGTTCATATCCATGAGTTCATGTACATTACACACAGTTCTAACTGTCAGACTCTATTAAGACAGAAGAATATTGGTTTCCTCCCTCTTCTCAGCCCTCTTTCCTTGCCAGGAGCTGATATTTTCCTGGACAGTCCAATGGTTTTGAAAGTAGCTGATGAGGTAGTAATGGAGAGTGGCATGGCAGTGGGCCACCGTACTCTGATGAATGGAGGCTAGTGTTTTCTTGCTATCCTTATTCGGCATTTAGTCTGGCATGTGCCAGCCAGAACTCATTGGATTAGATTTGGCAGTCTTTCCTAAATGCAATTCACTTGCTTTGAATTATTGCCAGTAATACGTTATAGTAGGGCCAGGTGCTATATCCACTGTTAACTGGGCCCGTTGTTACGAAGCGATTTGAGGAAACGTGATGTTTAGCATACCACAATCAATGGTATCTGTGTCACCTTGGCCGTAGTTGTGCTATTGGGCTTCTCTTAATAGAAAAAGCATAGCTCACCTGCATTACCTTGGTTTTCTAGGTTCCTTAGAATTCCCTAGAACTAACAATGAAATGTACCAGCTATGAAATGGGGAGCAGGGTTATATTTTCAGTGGTCAATGTTTTTATAGTTTGCCTTTAAATTATTATAACACTCCTAAATATGGCAATACATACCTGCTTGGTGAAATTAGCTAGTTGAACTGGCTTTTGAGATCAGCATCAGTGTTAGAAACTCACATATATAAGCCAGATGGCACATTAAACCTAGGTTACAGTCGCCACAACTCAATGTCTCGGCACCATTTCCCCCTGCCCCCCCCCCGGGAATTTCTTCTTCCTCATTTCATTTCTATACCGCTTTGTATTTTAAAGAAAAAAACTCAAAGCAGTTTACAGTACACTAAAACATCAAATACAACAATCCAGAATAAAACAAATTCAAGCTTCCATAAAAATATTTTGGATCCTTCTCTAAGTGACATTTTGCTTTCTGCATATTTATTTACCTACTTAATTTATATAGCTGCCCCATAGTAGAAGTACCCTAGGTGTAATGGTTGGAATGTCGGACTAGGACCTGGGAGATCAGGGTTCAAATCGCCACTCAATCGTAAAGCTCACTATGTAACCTTGGACCAGTCACAGCCTCCTAACCTACCTCACCAGTTGGTTAGAGGATGGTGCTGATAATACCAGAGCTGCAGGTTTGATCCCCATATGGAACAGCTGTATATTCCTGCATTGCAGGGGGTTGGACTAGATGTTCCTCAGGATCCCTTCCAACTTTACAATTCTTTGATTCTCACAGGGTTGTTGTAGGGATGAATTGATGAGGGGGGTGAATCATGTACTCCTTGGAGAAAAAGGTGGGATATAAATGCAATAAATAAGCTCTTTTGCTTACCTGCTTGAGAAAGCTGGAGAGGCCAACCAGATGGAGATGTCAGTCACCAACCTGGCATCTGGATATCTCCACATGGTCACAATTGGACCTGCACCAGTAGCAAAATGCACCTGCCTAATTTCTAACACTGCTCAGCATGCAATAAAATTGCCTGAATGGACATGTGATAACATAAATTTTAGAATATCTCAGCACTGCTGTGACTGGCATTAACATTTGTTAGTGGCACTAATAATTTTAGCAGCACTACCTCATGAACTGTGGACAATTAGGCAGTGGCCTTCTATCATATTTGTTTATGACTCTGTGTTGGGCACTCTCCAGCTATTTTGCAACCTTTTTTATGTCTATTCGTTTAGGCTTCTATAAAATTATTAAAAATAAAATCCTAGTTATTACACTGAAGTAGATTCTTGTTATAAGCACACACATGGCCAAGTATTAAATGGTAACTGGGAATAGTTACAACTACTGTGGTCCATGGGAAGATTCTGTAGCTATTTGCTGAACTGGTTGTAAGAAAGTGGTGTTATAGATGCAACCAGTAATCATTATCACACTACCTCAAAATTAGCTCCTGTATGGGAAAGTGTCTGCAACTAGCACTTTGGTCATTCTGTGTCAGGTAGAGTTATACCTTCTCTATTTTATTCCTCTGGATGCAGATAATATCACCAGTATATTTTTCTTTACCCTATTTTTACCATGGTCATATTCATGGCTTCTTATGTAATCTTAGAGGCCAGTGCAGCCACTTGGCAACTAGTGTGAGCAGATTTGAGGCTCTTCTAGTTTCCTCTACTTTCCTGATCTCCTTAAAGTCATTTGGGCAGCACTTTATACATATGCAACTGCTTTGCATTAACTTTTCAGATGCCTACAAAGCTAGAAGCTATGGAAGATCATCTCCTTAAATTGCATCATTTGGCACATTATTAACATAGGGACTTAAATTTACAACAATTTGGTGTTTTTTTACATTACTCAATACCTTAACTAAATTGCACATTTTCTTTTCTGGTGTGGCCTTAAGTAATACCATAGGACACTAGTGAGTTTGGGTCCTAGTCCTTTTTCAGGATGATGATTTTTCTTTCTACGTGTTGGTATGATTTGAGTCACTTTCTTCTTTGGCTAACCTTGAAGCATTTTGCTGCTGGCCAGTTCTTGGCTTGAGATCTCTGAAGATAGTGTATGTGAACTTGGAATTTAGTCTGCCTTTTCACCATAGCTAGCTTGCCACTTGCACTCTTGATGCACACAGCTTAATAACTGTAGATGGGCTGACAACAAATATCATCGTTATCCCTCGAACTTGTTTTTCCTTTCCTTTCCTTTTTAAAGTAGCAACTGTCTGGCAGATCCAAGTGACCTGTGTGTCTCCTACTTTGCCACCACAAAGTTCTGAACCTTGTAGTGACCTGTGTCAGAGGAAAAGATTGGACCACTCCTTGTTAGTCAAGCTCTTCCTCTAACAAGGTGACCTAAAGGGAACTATGACAGACAGAAATAAGTTCTTTGTGCTTTGGATTTGGGGTCCAGCCACACCCAGAGTGCCTGTTTACATCTGGCAGACAATTTCTGCGTCTGGAGCTGGGTGTGGGATCATTGCCAAACCTGTGTGACTGGAGACTGCCTTGACATTTGAAAGGTGGGGTTCCATTAATCATAGTTTGAGTTCAGTGTGCCACCGGAATTGCCTTTAAAAGGCATTGAGAACAAAAGGTATCAGTCAGTCCAGAAAAGAGGAAGAGGAAGCCAGTGAGGGCGTAAATGTGATGTGCTTCAGAAATACTTTAAATGTATTTTAAAGCTGCTTCAAAAAGCTATCCGAAAAGCACACTGTGAAAACACTGCATTTCCCAACACACCATATTTTTCTATGATCAGTCTTCATAATTAGAGAGGGATTAAATTAAACAGAAATGAGTCTTTTTCCTGAAGGAAAAAAATGACTTAAAAGTGTGAGATTTTAATCATAAATTCAGGTGTGACACTTAAAGCAGCATCTTCTGTTGCACTATATTTGACTTTAAATGGCATAGACCATTAGTGGTGTGGTGTCCATTCTGGTGAGGGATAGGAAATAAAGGTGGGGTTTGGGGGTGGTTTTTTTGACAAACAGTTCACTTCAAAGGGCCTAATGACAATGATCTTCTATTTTATGGTAGAGAATGGCTGTTGGGAATTATTGGATCTGGGTTGTAATAAGTGAGTCCTAGGTACATGGGACGCGGGTGGTGCTGTGGGTAAAAGCCTCAGCGCCTAGGGCTTGCCGATCGAAAGGTCGGCGGTTCGAATCCCCGCGGCGGGGTGCGCTCCCGTCACTCGGTCCCAGCGCCTGCCAACCTAGCAGTTCGAAAGCACCCCCGGGTGCAAGTAGATAAATAGGGACCGCTTACAAGCGGGAAGGTAAACGGCGTTTCCGTGTGCGGCTCTGGCTCGCCTGAGCAGTGATGTCACACTGGCCACGTGACCCGGAAGTGTCTCCGGACAGCGCTGGCCCCCGGCCTCTTGAGTGAGATGGGCGCACAACCCCAGAGTCTGGCAAGACTGGCCCGTACGGGCAGGGGTACCTTTACCTTTACCTTTAGGTACATGGTGGGAGTTGAAGACTAGCGTAGCTGATCTTGCATGTGTCAGTAGATGGTGGTGCTACTCTGGAAATATATTTTCTCCCAGAAATCCTCTGATAGAGTTGCAGCTGTGTTCACATCCTTCGGCTGCTTCTACTATGAAATTTGAATGGCATTCTATCGCCATGGAGCTACTACATAAAAATAATCCAGGTGTTGAAGTCAGTTTCTTCAATCAAGGACCTAGCTTTGGATTTTGAATGGCATTGAATTTTAAATGTTCAGCTGCGGTGCTATAGTGAAACAAAGTAGTCCTGTCTTTTCTTTTTTATTATGAACAGATAAGGTGATATTCCATGTTTCCTGCAGTGCTTTGGCAATTGCACTTGAAGTCTCTCTGTAGTGCAGTCCCCAGAAATTCTTGTTACTGGGAACGGTCTTCTGACTCCCGTCCTTAGCGAATCATGGAGCATATTTTGAAATCTTAGTGCTCTCTTTGGGGACAGATAATCTCTAGTCCAGGAGGCGTCACAAAGGTCTTTCTGAACAATCATGTGCAGATGAGTTTGATCAAGGAGCTTGCTGCAGGGCAAAAGCCCACCCTCCTCTTTACTAATCATACTTGTTTTGTGTGCTTGCTCTGGACTTGAACAGCCTTGAATGCTTCTTTTGCTGACCCTTTGCTTCTTTCCCTCTCTTAGCAGAGTTTTGATTCAAAAGAGCATACCTTTTTGTTCTGTGCACCGTAATCTAGGGGGCTGTGATCAGCGGCAGCCACATGCCTTGTTGCCCACTGGGACAGTGATGATTCTAATACTTGTTCTCTGTTTTGTCTGTCTTAGGCTGACAAACGTGCTCACCACAATGCACTGGAGCGCAAACGTAGGGACCACATTAAGGACAGTTTCCACAGCCTGCGGGACTCTGTGCCATCACTTCAGGGAGAGAAGGTGAGTTTATTGAGAGAAGTGATGATCTTCCCCTGGGTTCTGTCTGTTAATCACAAAAGAATTGCATCCCAGTCCCATTTTGCCTTAAGTTTCTGAGCAGGAAGGAGCCAGTGCCAATACAGCTTAGAAGGTACTTCTGCAAAGGTCCCAAAGAGTTTGCATATAGAAATGTTTCTGCTGCTTCAGAAAGCTAATAGTAAAATGAAGATGAAATATTGTTGTGAGAAGTAACTTACCCTTCCATCAAGCATTTCTAAATAATGGAAAGTCTTTTACCACGCGGCTTCACAGGCCTGAAGAGATGGTGCTTCTTCCTGATCCATCTACCTCTTCCTTTATGAGGGTGATATAGGACCATTTCATTGGATCTCAGCTTGTGATTAGTCATCTGTGTTTGCCTTACCCACATTTAAATTTGCTTTTGTTGTAGGGGTGTTTTCAGGTATTTGCCATGAGCACATGACCGCCCCTCAATCTGCGCTTAGAAATATTGGCATGTAGAATTTCAGTTTAGGCTTGTGGCAAACAGTTGATACGGGCGTCCTTCAGTCTTGAGAACGAGCAAGCGCCCATGAGTAGAGAGATTGTACGAATTAGCCCTAGGTGTGCAGAGAATGTGTGAAGGTTGACTTCCTTGCCTTTCTTCTCTATACTTGCAGGTAATGAATAAATAATGCTAGCAGGTAACTTTTAGCTTTCCTTAGTGGTAAAGTGGCTGTTCTAAAAAGGAATGAGGAAATTGTGCTCTGTTAATCACCAGTGGTTACAATATCTACAGGGTTTTCTGCAGAAGCTCAGTACAAGGTACTGAGCTTGATGGGCAACATTTTTTATGTGCAGTCACCTCTGATGACACTGTCCTAGACATTGTCAAGACACACCCACTTAGTACTCAGGTCATGTAGGCAAAGCTGCCAGAACTCAGGTTTTTATTAATGCTGTGGTATAGTCTGTTTTTATGGTATTTTATTATTTTACCGTAGTATCCAACTTAACTTTTACTTGGAGGAGACCCACTGAAATTAATTGGTCTACATTGGTTGTTAGGTTAGGGCTGGGCGATTTATTGATACATTGTCCAAAATTGGTTGGAAGTCCACATTATGTTAAAAGTTTCATAATATTGGACTTGGCGATATATCACAAATCACGATGCGTGTGTGTGCTATGTAAAAAATTGTGATGTGGGGGAAATTGTGAAGCCTGTCATTGCTTCTCTCATGAGGTCTGCAGCCGCATGTTGCTTTGTACTATAAAATAACAGTTGCAACAGTATGTTAAAGATAACTAAATGTATCCGTTACCCCATTCGCTTCTACATAGTTCCAGCCTTACTTCAGACATTGTTATATATCGGTGTATCACAGGGGTCAGCAAACTTTTTCAGCAGACCTTCCCTCAGACTTTGTGGGTGGCCGGTCTGTATTTTTGGGGGGGAAATGAACTAATTCCTATGCCCCACAAATAACCCAGAGATGCATTTTAAATAAAAGCACACATTCTACTCATGTAAAAACATGCTGATTCCCGGACCGTCCACAGGCCGGATTTAGAAGGCAATTGGGCCGGATCTGGACCACGGGCCTTAGTTTGCCTACCCATGGTGTATCGTAATGCTTATCTGGTGATATGTCATTTTGAAAAACAGACATCTCTCAGCCCTATTGGTCATGTTCATGAATTTCATTGGGTTTACTCTGACGTATGACTAATGTTGGATACATTTCTGTATTTAATGTGTTACTTTATAAGGCTATGTACACACAGTAAATTTAAAGTACAGGATTCCCCACCCAATTGCTGGGAACTGTAGCTTATCCCTCCCAGAGTTACAGTTCCCAGTACCCTTAACAAACTACAGTTGCCAACATTCTTTGGGGATTCAAAGTCATGTGCTTCAAATGTATGGCATGTACACCGCCTAAATTGTTGTGACTTTGACTCATAAAGGTGGCCTATAAATGTTTCTAAATAATAAATAAATGAATGTTAGTTAAAATATGTGGCCTGCTTTTCTGCTTTTTGAATTCCCCTTTGAGGTTAGTGCAAGCTTCTGAGTAAAGCGCCTGGAATTTTATGCCCTGTTTGGGGAGATTGATTGGCAGGGTTTCTTTATGGTGATGTCAACTCCATTGGAGTTCAAAATATTTGAAAGCCATGTTGCTTATATTGTTCTCCATATCTGGGATGTAGTGACAGCATGGGGTCAACACCAGTTTCTGTTTAATACATAAAAATGACATAAGCCTATTGTTGAACCCTAGCAGTGGTATTTTACCACTTAAACACTTTAGTTACAATTTATTTGATGCACATCTGACTGCATTTTCTAATGCACATCCACATTCTAGTACAAAGCCTACTAAACATTTGGGGTTTGGGTTTATTTGCAAATTCGATAAACTTTTGAAGGGAATATCTCACACACTGTACATATGCTGGAACCTATACAGTGGTACCTCAGGTTACATACACTTCAGGTTACATAGGCTAACAATCAAATAAACAATAATGGGAGCTTATTGTCTCCCAGGTTAGAATTCATAAACACCTCTAGCAGAATATGCTTTTATTGTTGACAACAGGAGTTCATTAGAAAGAAATGAGAAAATGGCGCATGCAGTGTCGTCCCCCCCCCCCCAAATGTTGAGAATTAAAAAGCAAATTGCATTAAAATTTGTACTGTGTAGCAATAATAATAAATAACATTTACATATTGCTTTCAAGTGTTTAAAGCACTTCATATGCATTATAAAACTTTCATATTTACAACAGTTGGTATATCCCCCACCACCCAACCCCACCTCTGCAAAATGGGGGATGAAACAGAGCCACATAGTGAAAGTCAAACCAAGATCTTCTGACTGGCTTGGAGAGTGGCATTTTTGCAAGCAAAATTAACTTAGTAGGGCAGGCTGGACAATGAAGAAATGTTTCATTATACTGGGACCATGAACCATAAAGTACCAAGTTGATGCATGCAGGTGCTGGGGGAAGTAGAGTCACTTGGATTAATTACTAAAAGTGACATATTTGCTGCTGTTTCTCATTTGCTAATTGTAGAGACTGTCTTGCCCAACCTTAATTGCATTCTGAAGAAATGCTGCAGCCATCAGTAGAAGAAGAAATGGGCAAATTCCAGTAAAAAAAGGTATTTCCAAGTCCCATTAACTTTAATGAGAGGGTTAAGGACACACTTAACTTGTCCACCAAACTCAGTGGGACATATAACTTTTGCCAGGTTATACACAGTGTCAGGAAATATTAAGAAAGAACATGATAGATGTGGGTCAATATATATGCTGCACATTTTATGATACATTCATGTACGACCAAATGTTCCTGGAGCACTGGTAGAGAGGGACAATACATTTAGTGGCAGGACAAGAACATAGTGAAGCTGGGCGAGATCTACATATAAGCAGGGTTGTTCACAGAACTCACACGATGAAAGTCCCAGAGGGGAAATAGTTTGACAGTGGCAAGTACCAGGTTTAATTCTGAAAAGTAGACAATAGCTAAATTGACAACAAAGTTATGTGGACAGTATAGAACTAGTGGTTTTGTTTTGGCATACAACACTGTCCAGCCACGATGGCAATGTAGAATACTTTCAACCTTTTAGAACAGATCCTTTTTAAAACTGAGAAAGAATGTTGGCATAGTTGCCACATCAGAAATGAAACCTTTTTAAAAAAACCAACCACAGAGCTTATGCCTGCCTAACTATGTTTCTCTGTGATTGCATTATTCTTTAGCTTAGAGCTGTGTGTTCCTGTTTTAAAAACAGGAATATCTGTTGGCAAATACAAATGTGACTATTCAAAAATTAAATACAAATATGTGTATTATTGCCTCTTGTCTGCCATCTTATTGCACCACCATAAATATCCTCCTTCTTTAAATGTTTGCAATTTGAAAATGAAACTAAAACTTAACTGCATATCAGCATTGTTTTTGTGTTATGCAGCTGTTTAGCTAACAACGATACTTTAAAATAGGCATGCTTTTTGTTTTCTTTCTTTAATAAACAGTTTTTTACAGGTGATGGGGGTGTGCTTTGCCAGCCTTGCTGCTTCCATTCAGGAACAGTGTGAAGCTACTGAATACGTAACCGAGCTCAAGTATTGCTGTCCAAATCTGTAGACCACTTAGAGGTTATTACAATTAAGCAGTATACAAATCTCGTAAAATAGATGCAACTTTCTATGCAAGGGACCCTGGCCCTCTAAAATCTGCCATAGCTGCTTATTCAGGTTTGAGCTTCACATATTTTAATGAGAGCCATGATGTCTTTCATAAAACATCTTCAGATAAAGCGCACATGATATAATTTTAGTCCTGCTTACAAGGGGAAATTGAAGCCCATCAAAACAAAGCAGTTCCAACCAGTCCTTTGGACAGTACAGCCTGCCTCCTTGACCTTCCATAGAGCAGGTTTGTCTGATCCAGCAGCATCCAGTAATGGAGAGAGCCTTCCCTCAAAAATGCCTTCAGACTAGGTTCTCCTTCCTTTTCTTTCCAGTCTGCAGCTGAAGCCATCAGCAGCCCTTTTTCTTATTTCTCATCCCACTTGAGTCTTCCAATCAGTAACTTCAGTATAAATATGAGTACTGCATTAAAAATATACATGCATATATAGTCTACAAGCAGCTTTGAAAAACTTTCCAAGAACATTTTACGAACCTGAGTTCTTATGAGAGCAGGTAAGCAATTGCCTTGTATAGCTTCAGGCTGCTGCTGAGTTAGATGGCCAGCATTTTGCAGTCCCAGTTGCTCAGCGAAAGCGTAAGCCAGCAGAGCACTGCATTATTGTTTTAGGATGGTATCCAGTGGTGTCCATGCAAGAGTAGAGAGGACTTTTGCTCATGCAATGGGCCTTCCTATTCCTGTTCCTCTCCTTCCACCTACATGCCCCAAAATCTTCTTTGGGGGCTGGGGGAGGACCCTCTGGATCCATTCAGAGGATGGAGGACAAGAGGGTCCCACAATGTGAGCAAAGATTTGGTAGCACAGTGTTGAATTTTGCTGTTAAGTGATCTGAGTGTCTGTTTTGATGGTCAGGGAACATTATGCTCAGATGCCAATAATGTGGGAATAATTTGCATTTTGCTTTATCTCTATGGAGGAAAACAGCAGATTGTTCTGTGGGTACTGAATAGCAGTTGGAAGACTCTACTTTGCTGAAAGAGTTCTTGTGAGCAGAAGGATTTGTTTGCAGAATTGCTGGCATGGGGAATGATCCAAGTCTATAGCTCCCTGTAGGACTTCCATTGATTGCTCCATCTGCTGTTGCTTTAGTACTGGGAACAGGTGTCATTAGTACAATTGATTCAGGAGCTCAGTATAGTAGGATTGGAAAACAGTTAACATATTCTGAGTCTCAAAGCTGCTTTCTCTAGTGCTGAACTTTTTGCAAGTATTACATGGACTTCAAGATTGAACCTAAGTCAAATGTGGACTGGGTTGAGGAATCAGTTCTCTAGCCTCCCTGCAGAAGGGAATATCAGACTTGCTGCCTACGTGAACTAGGACTTTATCTGGTGTGTGTTTTTTCCTACTATTGCAACAGGCATCCCGGGCCCAAATCCTAGATAAAGCCACAGAGTACATCCAGTACATGCGTCGGAAAAACCACACACACCAGCAGGACATTGATGACTTAAAGCGCCAGAACGCCCTGCTGGAGCAGCAAGGTGAGTGAGGCTGCGTTAGGGCACTCCATATGCCATCTTATGGATAAGGATACTGTGCCACCTCTCAACAAAACCCTCTGCTATCTGTGTTCCTCTGCCAGGGAAGCTTCCCCAACCTGGTGCCTTCAAGATGTCTTGGTCTACAAATCCCAGCCTGCATATCTTTGCTGGCTGGGGCCGATGGGAGTTAGTCCAAGAAACCTGAAGGAAACCAAGTTGGGGGTGACTGCTGTAAGGTGTCCATTGATCAGGAACCCATGAAGTAAGGCTGTGGTTGGAGTGAGAAGATCCAAAGTTTTGCACATTGGCAATGAAGCCATTGAATACAGTCATTCAAAGCAGCCCAAGGATTGGGGTTTGTTCTGAGGAGTCTTTCTCCCTTGCCTAATATGTACAGTTTATGCCAGGGTGGTGATTATGGTGGGATCTTTTGATGGAACATTGTAAGTGAGTGGCATGTTCCTGTTTTGAAGCATACAAAGTTTTCTCAAGCCAAATAATTACGACATATTTAAAGCAGACTGATAAGTTGCTGCTCACAAGGGAGGACTAATGGTTGCCACTAGGCAGAAGTATAAGTAGCAAGTTTCACAGTGCTGGGGTGTGCGCGCGCGCGCATGCGTATGTATGTACTCACACACACACACAGGAGTTATCAAACCTTAAAGCCCAACTTCCCTGCCCCTCTGCTTCTGACACTGGGAACAGGGGGCATAAAACAACCCAATAATAGTTAATTGCAAAGGTGTATTGATGGAAGATTCATAGTCTAGCACTGAACTACACTGGTTCATTTCAGAGTGCAGCAGGCATTTGTTAGATTTTTTTTACTCCACTTCTCCTGTTCCAAAAGGAAACTCAAGGCAGCTTACATAACTAAAACTAAATATACAATCAAAATTCAGTTATGGAAACAGTTGAGTAAAAGAGCAACAGACAAACAATTAAAGAGCCAGTGAACCAACAGCCATTGCTAATTTGCAGGCAAGTTGAAAGCTTGCTAAAAAAAATGAATGCTTTGATGGGCAGCAGAATAATTTTAAAAATGGAACCAAACTTCCCAAGACAGAGAGTTCTACATTATGTGTGTAACCAGAAGGCTCTCTCTTGTGCATTGATGACTTAAAGTGCCAGAATGTCTTGGCTAGGACACACATATGGGCCATGGGCTGAGCTGTCAACAGTATGACAAAAACTGGAATTACTGTACATGGCAAGCTTAGGTCCATTAATTTCAGTGGGTTTACTCTGAGTAGAACTTAGTTGGGTTCAGTCCTATGATACAAACAGAAAAGAGAGGGATGAATTTCCCCATAACATACTTTCACTAATCTTTCTGAAAAAATATAATTTATTTCACATAATATTCCCCAAACTTATGACGGTTTTTTTTATCAGACCTTAGGAAAAAGTGGTATATTTCCAAAACTTTCTCAATCTTCCCCCAGTTTGGGCCTTAACATCTTTAGAGGTACCAATCTTAGTTATAGAACTGAAAAATACTTGGGAATCTTAATTTTGATTTTTAAAATTGTATTTATACTACCTTAACTACATTTAGTTTTTAAAAAGCAGGGTATGCCAATCAATAACATTCTGTCAGCCAAGTGTTAAGATCACCAACATGAGAGCATGTTCATGTTATGTGCAACGCCTACTTTTCCCCAGCCTATTTCCATATGCTTGTTCTTGCCTTTTAGTTCGTGCCCTGGAGAAGGCAAGGTCAAGTGCTCAGCTGCAGGCCAACTATTCCTCTTCAGACAACAGCCTCTACACCAATCCCAAGGGCAGTACCATCTCCGCCTTTGATGGAGGCTCCGACTCCAGTTCAGAGTCTGAGCTGGAAGAGCCACAGAGCCGGAAGAAGCTTCGTATGGAGGCCAGCTAGAAGAGGCCCCTGTTCCCGCTGCCATTAGACACTCGCTGGCTGCTTAAGGACTTTCCTTTTTTTTCTTTAGTAGAGGCTCTCGGACTGCAGCTTCCCCTGTTCCTTGCCCCTATGTGGCCCCTTTTGAGTTAACCCAACCCCTTGGCTTGGCAGCTTACCTTCTGGAAGACACCGGCCATAGCTTGGAGCAGGATGTAGTTTTGTCTTGTCCTGCCTCATGGCTGCAAGTTCTAGTGTCAGGAATGCCCAGGCCATTCGATGAACTCATGAGTCTATGGTTGCCTGGACTCTGTGGTGACAATGACCCCTCCATCCTTTCACTAGAGCCGTACCAGTCACTGTCTCATCAAAATATGTTTATTTATGACAACAAAGCCAAATGTCCCCTGAAGGATCTTGGTGGGGGAAGGGAATCATGCAGATCCATGCGAGTGCATGTCCCTAGTTTCCTGAAGGGATGGTGCAGGATTCAGGGTGAAGCAGGGAGATGGATTTCCTTTTTGTACTTTGGCAAGTGATTAATTGGTATTTATTTCCTTCTATGGAAACTCAATCCGATCAGATTCCTCCTCTTGCTGCGGACATTGGTGACGTGAAGCTACAGATTCATACCGTGATCAGTTCTTCCTCTTAATGAATTTCTCAGAATTAGAGCCAGCTTTTATAATGTAAATACACACCACAAGCTTTGTTACTTGGTACTAATAACTGCATCAAAGCGTGGACCTCCTGCCCTCTGGCAAATGGGCCAGTTACCCCATAACGACTTAAATGGGCACAGGCTGTGAGTGAGCAAAGGCCACTGTGTGTATGTGTGCATGTGCACGCACATGTGCATGAGTGTGCATATGCGTGTGTGTGTGTGTGTGTCGGTGTGTGTGACCTTATATTTTTGTCTTCTTCCCACTCTTGTTTGTGACGTTTTCTGAATTTAGTGTATACAAGTGTAGCTTGGTCTCTGTCCAGGTGTGAGTCTATTCCATGAACTGAAGTATGTTGTACATACTGCCCAAGAATTGTCTTGCAAGTTAAGGCTTCCCTTTACTATAAGACTATAAATAAAAAAGTATTTTATCCTTTTGAGTGGTACTGGTGTCTTTGTGGAAACCGATAGGGGCGGGTATGCCTCTTGGCAGTTTTGCTTCCACTTTTCTGACGTGAGACAGAAGAATTTCTATTCCCACGTGAGAAAAGGCTTAACCTGTTGAAATAGAATTATGAGCAAGGCTTCACAGGCAAACTCAACATTTTAAGATCTCCAAATCTTGCACTTCTCCAAAATGCTGATACAGGGGAGTTACCATAAAGTGCTTCTGTACTTTTAGTAAGTTGATCAAATAAAGGAAGAGCTTTGCATGTATATCTCTTCTAGTAGGATAAGAAAGATTGCCTCTGCTACATGTTTTCAATTGCACATACTACCCCAAAACCAATGGGGTGGAGGGAGAATGGCTGTTTCCCTTTGTTTTGAGGGCAGCATGTATCTCCATCTATGCAGCTGCAGCTTGTCACATAATGGTGAGAAATATCTTTCTACAATTAAGAAAGATGGAGGTCTTATTTGTGAGTGGTGCTATCTCAGAATGGTTCTTTGGGCCAAATGAGTAGACACCTTTGCAGAAAGATGCTGATAAAAAAACAAGCAGGTGGCTAAAATGGTCCTGTGTCACACACACATATGTAACAGGAAATGGCAAGAGTTGCTTCCTAGTTTCAGTGTGAAATATTGCAACATTTCTGGTCCTGGGTGCTTCCTCCTCTTGGGCGGCAGCACTCTCAGCAACAGCCCCACATGCGCAGGGAGTGCAGGAGGCATCACTAGGATTTTGCTCAGTTTTTGGACATACACAAGCTTTGTACGAGGTACAGCATCTGGCTTGTTGGTGCAGTTCTAAAAGCCACAAAATGGGTGCTAGCAGTTTCTCACCTCTTGAAATTCAGAAGGTGACAGGCTTTTGGCTGCAGGGCAGCAGTGTCACCACCTCTGCACACACTACTGATGGCGTATGCAAGAAGGGTGGGGGTGGGGCATCTGGAACAATAGTTAAGCAGGAAGAGGGATCCAGGAAGCACTTCCTCTTGCAGCTCAACTCATTGGTAGCTGGAAGCTGGCCTTGATCTGTAACAATCAGATCAGCAGAACACCAGCTTTAACGCCCTGTGACCTCAGCCATACAAGGAAGGTTAATGGTTTTTTTTACAGGCAGAATTCTCTGGCTCGCTCTTGACTTGGTTTTAAGCTCCCCCCTTTAAACCATGTAGAACTCAAGGCTCTCAAAAAGTCCCTTAGGTTCTAACCTAGAAGGCAGGCCAGTCTCTGACCAAAGGCTACACTAGAGAGGAGGCTGTACTTTTTCAAAGTGCAGATGGGGACAATCCCCTTTTAAAAGTTCCTGTGACAACAGCATCTTGCATGTAAGTTTAGCCATCTTGAGATGCAATGAAAATATGTTACAATTTTCTTCCATTAAGGAATGGTAAGAAGACACCGCTGTTCGGCTTCACCGAACAGAAAGATCAGTGCTGCTTTATGGCTGTGGTTATAGTCCACCCCACTATTGCTGATTGTGCAAAGCTACCTATACAGCAGCCAGTTGCCCTTTGTCACATTTGCAACAGGGATGGGGAACTTGTGACTCGCTCCTGTTGTTGGGCTCCCATCAGCCCCAGCCAGCACAGCCAATGGTTAAGGATAATTGGAGTTGTAGTTCAACATTTGGGAGGATACGTACAGGTTTCCCATTCCTGTTCTACAGCTTTCTACCAATTAAACCTATTATTACCCTAATTTGCAGTGGATGGCAACACTGCTCTAGTAATTGCTGTCTAGTTAGCAGTTCTTCAATAAGAGCATACCTTTGCTATATATGCATAAACATCTCCCTGGAAATCACATTTCCCACAAGGGGAATGAAGTTGCTTTTAACAACCCTGCCTCCTAAGCACCCTTTTCACTACTACCTTGGAAGTTATATTGTTCAGTGCTTTTCCCCCACCCTCATGGAAGTAGCTTGCAGCGTGTCTTCTCTTCAGATTGGTCAAGATTTTGAAGACTTAATGAAGAAGCCATGATCCCTTCAAGAGAAGAGGTAGGCAGGGCTGAGTTTTGCACCAAAGAAACTCAAATTCAGAGTCCAGAAAGCTGGATTGTGAACACTCTTGTAGTGTATTACCCAAATCAAAGTGCGCCTAACACCTCCAGCTGTAATTTATGCCACTTTCAGGCATCAGAGGTAGCTTTAAATTCACTGGATGTCCTGAAATTCTCTTAGTATCCCTCTGCCTTAAGAAATATCACCAAGCACTGCCCACCCATTTTACACCTATCCTTGCAGCCTTCACGTGTGCACCCAATACCAAATTCTAAAGCTTTTCTGTGTTTGTATGGAATCAAAGCACATAACACACAATCCTACTAGCAATTTTGCAAGCTATTGGCAATTTTCATTCAGCAGTTTAAACACACTTTAATTCTCCCAAAGTACCAGTTTGGCCCACAAAGCTGCTTTTATACATGTGCTTAGGATGGTTGCAAAGTTGTGTTTATTTTAGCAGGGCCTGGCCTGGCTTGGCAGCTCAAGGTACAGGTGTGCCAAAGAAAAAGAGAAATGTCAGTGGAATGTACCAGCCTCCCAAAGGCTGAAAATGGAAGCCGGGAGGAGGGAAAAGGAGCCGGGAGAGGAAGAGAGCAGAAAGAGGAGCCGGGAGCAAACAAAGGAAAAATACCTTCCAATATGTTGTTCCCGCCTTCCTCCAGTGGCGATACCACTTAACAGTTATCTATATTCATCCCAAGATTAAGAGACAAATAGCAGCTGCTTGAAAAGTAAATTATAATTTCCAGCCGTTATATCTCCAAGCAATATCACCCTGCCCCATGCTATCTACATGTTGTGGGGAGGTTTGAAGCATGTTTGATCACATATAGGTTGTCTTCGTGAGAGCTGCCGCCCTGGGTATTCAGGGTTCCAGCTGAGAGGAACAGCCTGTGACCATTCAACAAGCTTCCTTCCCTGCTTCAGACTTTCCCTCCATGCAAGGGGACAACCACAGGGCAAGCACACAGCCTCACTCTCACCCCACATGGTTACTTGCATGGAGCTAAAATCTCAAGCCCTGTTGCTGAGGCTACCATGGTACTCATTAAGGATAACAGTGGTTCTACAGGTTATGTATTAGTCTGTTCTGCTTACGAAAGGCTAGGATTGTTTACCTCTTTGACGCTGTAATTCCTCCAAGAGTTCAGTTTACATATAGTTTCCAGGAAGGGTTCAATATCAGGGCTGCTTAGCTTCAACAGAAGTGTTGTGCGGCTTTAAGACACTGGTTAGAAGTAAGCGCTAATAAGCATGCCTTGAGAAAGCATTGCAAACTGTACAGTCCCAAAAGGAAAATGTTGTGATTTCCTTCCCAAACATGCAGATGAGCACCAAAGGGCCCTCCTAGCAGAAATACAAATTAAAACCTTAAATACAACTGCATCAAAAAGTTTTATGAATGGTCACAACTGGACAGATAATAAGAAAGGAATTAGTTTATGTTTAATAAAATGCACAAACATTATTACATTGTCAGTCCTGCCGCTAGGCAGGCTAGTACCAATATGCAAGGGAGGGAAAGAATTTTGCACAGAATCTTGCCAGTGGCCTCTTTTTTGCTTGATGCAGAGTGAGACCTTCAACACCACTTTATATAATGGAAAAGAGCTTAACACAAGGGGGGTATCCAAGACAGCACCCCTGGGATGTGCTCCAGCAGCCGACACACAACTAATACAGTGTTGATGTGCACACTATTGACTCATAATATGCTTACATTTTAAAGCCAGAGTCCCATGTCTTGGTTAGCAGTACTTGGAATAGCTTCGGGGAGTATAAATGGACAGAATATATTGCCTGTAAGGGTATGGGATCAGGGCACCAACTCTGGCTAGGCCAGTAATCAGCCTATTAGGAAGCTGGCCCCACCACCCCCAAGATACTTAGCATAGTGCAAATGAAACAACAGAACTGGTTTGCCAGATGCTTAAGATACTAACATGCTGCATTGTTTCAGAACCAAAACTGCTCCTGCTTGCAAGGTGAGAGAGCGTCCCACGCAAATGAGCAGCCAGCATGTCTAACCGTGTGCCACCACACAGCCAATCTGCTACTAGGTCCTGAAAACTGATCAGGTTTTGGTATGGCTAGCAGAACTCTCTCAAAAGATGCACACACAAAAGTTGAGCCCAGTTTGAAAATAATCAAAAAGTTAGCTCCAGGGCTAGGGCCCCCCACAATGGCCAAGACGACTTGCAGTGCCATGCGTTGAACGGCAGGACAAGGCACTGCACAGTGTCTACCCGGGCAGCAGCCCCTCTCAGTTAGCAACAGGCTCCTCCTTTGCACTTGGAACAGGCTTCTTCAGGAAGTGCATCACGGCTTGCACCACTTTGTCGGGGGAGATGTTGTACACAGGGTGCGTAGGCTGCTGTTGGAGGGAAGGAAACAAACAGGAATTAAAGGTGAAACTGTGTCTACTCTCACCAGTTCCATAGCAAGAGAAGCCAAGTCTGTCAACTTAGGTAAGTTAATGAAAGCAAGTTATTTAAGGATATATTTCATGGCACTATGTATGGAGCTACAGGAGTCTGAAGCCCAACATCCTGACCACTGAAAGAAGTTTTTATCAGCTCCGCTGTAGCTTTTGAGAGTTTACTAGACGTTATCCACATATTTTCAGCTTTGAAGGGGTCATTATCCTTGAGCAGTTGCCACGGCCTCAGCACCAACCCCAGGCTCCTTCCCATTGTGCCACCACTTGCTTGCCAGCCCAGCTGCCTCTCAAGTGGGCAAGCAGCAACAGCACCAAGGAACCACAAAAACCCTGGCTCCCTGCCCTCCACTCTAGCTGGAGGTAAGGATTGTTCCTTATCACTGCCTGCCTACCAGCTGTTGCAGTGACACAACAAAGGAAAGGGGTGGTTCCACAGAAAGGGCATCTTGCCAAGCCCCGCCTCCCAAACCTGGAGCTACCCTTGTTCAAGCCTCTCTGAGGAGACATTCACTGCAGCAGCAGCAGCAGCAGCACTGGGGCAATC